GATCTGATTGAGGTGTTTAAGATTGTTAACGGAATTGATAGTGTTGAGGGGATCTGATTGAGGTGTTTAAGATTGTTAACGGAATTGATAGTGTTGAGGGGATCTGATTGAGGTGTTTAAGATTGTTAACGGAATTGATAGTGTTGAGGGGACCTGATTGAGGTGTTTAAGATTGTTAAGGGAATTGATAGTGTTGATGCATCATCTTTTTTCATATTTAATGGTGAGACAAGGGGACACAAGTGTAAATTTTGACAGGATGGCAGACATCTTCAGCTAAGACAGCTTTATTTTTCTAACAGGGTGGTTGGCCTCTGGAACAGGTTGCTTTCAAATGTGCTAGATGTAGTTAATTTAAGGGAGCTTGGGGAAAAGTTTGATAAATATTTGAATGACAAGGGTTGGCTTTGAATGTGTTTTTTTTTAGGGTTTAATTTAATTCACTGGAGAGGACACCTTGATGGACCCAAAGGTCCCTTGTTGTCCTTTAATGTTACGTTACATGGCCAAGACTAACAAATAAATTAGTAGGAAGGTAGCTAGTCTCTCGATGCCAACTCAGGCTAATTGTTTGCTGGATTTGACAACCACTCTTATAACACACCTACAATCACCAAGAGAGGAGCCCTTTTTTGAGGTAACAAGTTGTGAACCACGAATACTCAGATTAACAATTTGGACATGTTAATTAATAGGCCACACCTGGCCCTAAACATATATACAGGGCTGACTTAAGGTAGGCTCAAAGAACCCACCACAAAATTTTAAGGCAGCACAAGTCGTACCTATTTACAAAAAATACTAACAAGCAAAGAAAAATGTTGGTGAAAGTTTGTGTGCGAAACTTAAATTAATATCACATCAAATACCAGAAAATTTAACTCCAGATAAGGTCTTATTTCACGTATGTGAGACCGAAATCAAAGAAAAATTTTCCAAAATACACTTATTGCTCTAAGAACTTTATTAGCTTTTCCCATTAGGGGGACGAGATAGATTAAATGGTCTAGCAATAATTTCTATAGAAAATGAACACAGACAGATTAAGGGAAAGTCAAGAGCTCGTAAAGTTCCATTTTCTGAAGACTAATCTTTGTTTATTTATATGTGTATTTCTACCATATATCATTTCTGTACTCTGTATTTTTTTAAAACATTATTTACAAATTTGTAAACTACAGAAATATAAATATTTTTTTATTTTTGCTCCTTGCAATTTTTGAACACCAGATGGCACTGCAAATATAGAATTAAGAACTTTAAAAAAAATGAAGTATGCTTTGCAATATATCTTTTTTTTTTCAATCCATCTGTTGCTATAAACTTAACTACTTTACTGAGTAAGCATGTTTTTAGTATACTAAGTTAAATGTTTATTGACAAAATTAAATATTAAATATTTTAGCATACGAAAAAGATTGTTTAAAATTCCACAAATATGCAGAATGACATTTTGATGCAACTACAAAATATCCAAACCTGAAACCCGGAAAATTAGGTAATGTTTAATTAATTGCCACAAGTATATTTAGTACGTTACTTTTTTTCCTAGTAGCGAGAACAAGAAGCCGGACAGAGATCAGACGAGGATCAACGCTGTCAGACAGGTAAGAAATTAAAGTAAAACACACAGTTTTACAGTTGACTTCTTTCTCTTTATGTCTTAGTCATCTTGTGTATTCCACATTTTCAAGTTTGGTGCGATGGCTACTTCTGTTACTATTATCAGATAGTAATTTTGATAAATCTGTGAAATCTTAAGTTTGCTATTACTTAAATCTGAAGACGACATTTATGGCACTGGGAACAGTTATAGATAATTCTTGTAGTATAAAAACATAAGAAAATAAATGTTTTATAGCCGTTTATTTTATTAGGTTTTTATAGGTGTATATCACCTAAATGTTAGAGGTTTACACCTACAGTACATAAATAGTTTTTTTATATTTATATAGGGGTGATGTCTGACTCCACACTGTTAACATTACGTATGGAATTCACACGACTCCACACTGTTAACATTACATATGGAATACACATGCCTCCACACTGTTAACATTACGTATGGAATAAGGATACAACCTTTATATATCAAGATAATATGTGCCTAAGTTAAAAGTATAACTTCATAATATAAATAATTGCTTAAATATATCATTTAATTCTTCTAAAATAAAACAAAAACTGAATCTGTTACCTGAATGACTGACCAAGGACTTCTTCTTTAAGCAAAGCTACATATTTTTTTAAAGCATCAGGAAGAAGCTACGAAATAAAGAACAACATTACCAACATTTAAAAAATAACATGGAAAAATAAGCTGTAAATTATGAAACAATGTGCAATCCATTTAAATTATGTTTATTTTTATTTCTAAATAAAAATTATTAGCTATAAGCAGATTCCTGGTACTGATACTTACATGTTGTAATACAGTGGCTAACGTCTTCTTCTTAGTCACCTGGTCAAACAGGATTGTTCCTGGCCTTCAAGAGTAAAAAAAATAGTTAAAAAACTATTAGTTCTCAGTCACCTCTGCACTATTTTCTACTGAAAATAATAATATATGTTGATAAGTTGACAAAAAAACAATTTATGAATATAATAAAGTGTTTAACTTTTGGGAAGAACATACTACATGTTTTGACATAACATTCATCCGAAGGAGACAGACCACGATGTATTTAACCATTACTAACATAAAATACACACTTGTTTGAAGTTTAAGTAATGAAATCACACACACAAACAATCTAATAATATTTCTAACTTATTAAAAAAAAAGTCATAACACTTACGACTGAATGTAGACTTTTAACACGGCAAACTGAACTGTAGAGTCTGTACATTCCTTTACAAAGTTGGTAAGGAAATCTGACTGAAAGAAGAGATAATAGAAGTCCGGTAGGAAATTCAAATATTCCGAAACACTAAATTAAAAATCATAATCCTAACAACCACTATTAAACTTTTAACACTCTTTTTAATTATCACCTCTATAGTAATACAAAGAACAAAAGTCTAAATTGTTTTGTAACTTTCATGCAAAGCTCTAAACAAAAGCTATCTATGCAATGTCTAAACTGGTAAAATAAAGAGAAAGCAGCTAGCCAACAGTGCCTACTACAATTCCTGAACACCCGAACAGTGAGACTGACTGTTGCTCTTAACATTACACTCATAAACTCAAAGTGAGAACCACATATTTGTGGTGGCAGGATTCATGGTGAATGTCTACAGTTCACTATAAACACCGTCGAAGTCTAGATAAGGTCGTAAAAAGCAAATGCTTACCATTTCACAAACTGCTGGATTGAGAGGATGCTGAGACCAAAGAGAAGCTTTAATGAATATATTACAGAAAGGCTGGGATAATATGTGCTGAACCTAAGAAACAAAAAAATTTTCATAATCTCAACATTATTTAATATAAAGCTTTTAATTCAATACGAAAATCAATTTATTGGTATGTTATCACATAAATAATTTCACCAAATGTTACTCTTTAAAGTTCCTGAACAAACAATTTTTTTTCTTCTTTTTCACACAAGCCTAAATTTTAAAATTATTGATAAAAAAAAAAACTGGTTGTCAGTCATTACTTTTCAGAAATATTTTCTTAACTCGTAACACCCGTGATAGTAGGTGAGTACTAAATATACATTATCCTTTGACCTATTAAAAACCAACAACAATAATTTATAAAAGTTATAACTCGCATTAAAATAATCCATTACCACAGACAAAAGCTTAAAAAATATACCTTTTTAGCCTTTTTAATGTAAGGTAAGACTTCTTTGATTAGTTGAAAACCAAGATAGACTTTTTCGCTTAAATGAGAGTTGAAGAGTCCATCTGGTGGTGAAAAAAAGAAACAGCATGATAAGTGTTTCAATCAAAATCATTTTTGTACTCTAAACAGCTAATCAAACACTAAATTTATTGAAAACATAGCCTAATTGTCTCTCAAATGAATAATATACAATGAAGAATAGACTTTAAACACGCATACGATTACAAAGAGGTTCTTTTTCAGCTTGTATGTGTAAAATTTTACATTATAATTCCCATTCAATTTAAAACATTTATCCAAATCTAGACTTGAGAATTAAATTATTCACTATGTTTTTCTAATTTCCCAATGCTACTAGAAATAATAATAATAAAATCTTAAATATAAATATTATATTTATATCTTAAATATAAAACTTTACATAAACAAGAACAATAAATCATATTAGCTATATTTATTACTGGGTTGATTTTTATTTTTGAACTAAGTAGGTAGGTGGCTCTGTTTGGAAGTTAATGATATCAGAAATCATTTTCTAGTCGTTCAATAAACCATGGAATATTACCAGATTATTTAATTTTTTCTAACTTTTTTATTATTTAAACTATTACGGCAAACCTAACAAGAAAGATCTTGGGAACTACAACCGAGAATACATTTTATGCTGAAATTAATGTCTATTTCAATAGCAACGTTTTTTTTAGGAGGTCACTACTGTGTAACTAACGAGGCTATATAAACATACGTGTGGTGTTAACACAAGTTTCGGGAAAAGCAATGAAAATTATCTAATGTTTATAAGAATATCACTTGATGTGTATAAACACAGTATATGTTTGTAAGCTTTAAAAAATTTAATCTAAACAAGACTTAACAGAAAAACTGGAGAAAAGCTTAGAGGTTAGACGGAGAAAATTTATCACAAACTTACCATCAACCACTGTTTTCCAGAACAATCTAAAATCTTTTTCTTTAACAGCTTGCATCACAACTTCACGGCAAGCAAGGTGGACGAGAGGATGACCAGCAGTGGATTGCTATGACCAAAGAAAATATTGAATGACTTAAAATTAGGCTAGACTATAGTGCATGTTCTATTATATGTTCTGTTTTTCTGTAAGCCAAATATATGGCCTATGTAACTTTAAGGTTTTGTACGAATATCATTATATATATAATGCATCAATAACGTCGGGCAATATTCTATGCCTTCGGACCAGTCAACACTTTGACCCTGTATATATTCATGGAGACATTTTTAGTAAAAATACTTTATTAAAAATTCTGATTTTTTTATGTCTACAAGTTACTCTTGGTGATTACTGAAAACTTGAAAGTAATAGTATAGAAATTACATACTTGGGGTCACAAACTCGGCTGATTAGACCCTACACAAGGAGCAAGTATGTGTACCTGTGTATAAAAGGTGAACAGCTCGAGTAACATGTCCTCTGCTAACTAAAGTTTCTTACCTTAAGAATACGAGTGAGATGAGTGTAATTTTCAGGGGAAAGGAGACGTTCAGTTTGCCAGTGCTCTCTCATGAATGCTTGATTTACTACACCCTTTTAAGAAAAAAAGTGTCAAAAATAGACAAATATTTCAAAAATAATAAAAAAAAGAGCTAAAATATAAGTTAGTTTTTCTTTCAATTAATAAAAAAAAATTTCACTTTAAAAGAAAGAAAAATTACTTCTTTATACTTGAAGTTTTACAAAAATCAGTCATATTATTTCAGTTTTAATGAAACCGTAAACGATTTTTTTTTAACACTTACAGGAAAGAGTCGAGCACACACAAAGAGGAGCCACAGCTTGTCAGGAGTACAGTTGTTCCAACCATCACATAAACTGTCCTTCAGATGAGGTAAGATGTGCTTTTTAAAAGATTTTTCATCCACCTGCAATATCAGAATACCCACCACTTTAAGTAAAGTTTAATATTTTAAAACTTGATAAAACGTATCATCCATTTTAAAATGATGCAAGTCTAGTAATTTTTTTCATTAGGAAAACTCACCGACGAGAACAATTCTGTTAACAGTTGAAAAGCAGCATGCTGGACGTAGCTACGTTGAGCAGCCAGGTTCTGTAAACTAAGAACAACAGTACCAAGAACATCCGGTTCTACAGAAGCTCTTCCAGCCCGTATGATAGCCCCATAAGCTAGCATCTGTCCAATAACGGCACTACCCTTTTCCTGTTAGATATATACATGTATTTATACTTTAGATATAGAATATCTTGCTAAATACATCATTAATTCATCTCTTGCAACGGAAGAATAATTAATTAAAATTAAATGTGAAAATATAAACTTGAGAACAAAATCACATTGTTTAGATATTAATAACTTTATTTCTCCTGAACTCTTTTTAATACCGATACAATCCATATATTCTTATTTGCTCAAAGCCTAAAACAAGATCATCTCATGCAGAAAACTTCTGTTGCATTTAATGTCTAATGTTCATTGTAACCCTCCACATATATCTAATGTTCATTGTAACCCCCATATATATATCTAATGTTCATTGTACCCCACTCATATATCTAATGTTCATTGTAACTCCCACATATATCTAATGTTCATTGTAACCCCACATATATCTAATGTTCATTGTAACCCTTATATATATATATATATCTAATGTTCATTGTAACCCCCATATATATCTAATGTCCATTGTAACCCCCCACATATATCTAATGTTCATTGTAACCCCCATATATATCTAATGTCCATTGTAACCCCCCACATATATC